TTCACTACCTGAGGATGTTTCCAAATCAATACGACTAATCAAGGCTTTGCTGTTCTTGAGAAGAAGATTTTTAAAGATTTTTTTTCCTATATATTCCTATGTAAAAATTTGATCCCCTATTGTGCCCCACCCAATTCCTGGGGGTCATGATTTGAACAAACTTGAACCTACACTATCTAATGAAGGTTTCACCTAAGTTTCAATTTTTTTGGCCCAGTGGTTCTTGAAAAGAATTTTTTTTTTTAAAGATACTCCAAATTTTCACTAATTCTTAATTATCTCCCCTTGGAAGAGGGCATGGCTCTTTCTTTGAACAAACTTGAATACCCTTCACCCAAGGATGCGTTTGTGGCAAGTTTGATTGAAATTGACCGAGAAGTTGAAAATGTGAAAAGTTTACAGACGGACAGATGGATGACAGACAAAATGTGATCAGAAAAGCTCACTTGACCTTTCAGCTCAGATGAGCTAAAAAAGTGACTGGGACTTCAAAATTACTTTCATTGACATATCCATGGTATTTGAGATATCAATGTTCGAGATACAAATAACTATTCCATACTTATGAACTTACTGAGCTAAGTTTTCTAATTAACTTAATCTATGCTTGACTACTGACAAATGAAAAAAACATATATAAATATATTTGCTGTATCAGGGACATATATACTAACAGGATAGGCAACTCTTTCAGCACAATGTTTATTTGCCCAAAATGTTGCAAACAAAACTACAAGTTTTTCAAATTACATTTAATCCCAGTAAAAAGTATTCAGTTCTTTCTGTTTATTGGAATAGATTTTTAACAAATTTTAAAGCATAGATTGTAAAATAATTTAAATTAATATAAATCAAACAACCACTAAATTCCCTAATTCTCCAAAATATGGCTGATCAGGGGCATGTGTTGATTTTGAATATACAACGTAATTACACTAAGATAAGGAGTATAAACAGTGCTAACAACAAATATTGAATAATTTTTTGACCAATAATTTAGGTTTTGTTCTTAAATATTAGACAACATTAGAGATATATTATATTTAAAATTGACTTATAAAATCCCACAACTTACAAGACTTGTGTTGCAATGCGAGAGTTGCCTATCCTGATTGCATGACTCAGAAAGTGTATGTAAATTTATGTTTTGTAGATTATTGTTATTCACGATGTCAAACAGTGTAACTATAACACAAATTCTTGATATTAAAAATCCCTTATTTATTGGCTGAAAGCTCATTAACTTGAATAAAGAAAGACAATTTTGTTAAGTGTCCTGGCTTCTAAATACTTATAAGACATGAGTTAGTGCAAAGATATATCTGATTTACAGTTGGTGAGAAATTACATGAAGCTCAAATAAATCAAATAGCAAAAACTCTGCAAAAAGATTTAAATTTTAAAAATTATCATATATTCATCTCAAGTTTGTCTTGAAATTAATAGCGAGCGCAGCGAGCGGCCCAAAGCACCACTCGTCACTGCGAGCTCTTAAGGGGATGAAGGACACATGGTCACATGACTTTGTTAAACTACGTCATAGTCTCCATTTATAGAAGTGCAAAATGTGTAAAGCATCAGTTCTTGTAAAAAATTTTGACAATTATTTTTCTTTAATAACCATCTTATATTAACAAAATAAAAAGTTTAACATTCTTGTAAACATTATCAAATAATGAAAAAAGATTGATCCACTCCTCTGTTTCTTTAAACTGCGCGTCCAACAAGTCGGTGACGTCATACACGATCTGCTAGTACAGCAAGATCATACTCAGTGAATACAAGGGCTGTATTATTATGTAAAAACATGTCATAATCAGTATATGATGAAGTATTTTGAGAAACCGGGAACACAAAAATTATTTTTGCATGGCTGATGACGGAAATCTTATGTAGGTATATCTTATTTCGCTTATTTAGCTTACGTGTGACGTCATAGATGGTTTTTCCCGTACTCGAGAAATGTAAACATGACAAGTTTTTTGTCCTGCTTATGTCGTCTTTAACGATGTCCTGTGCAATATTGAGGTCAGCTTCACCATTCGAAATTTTTACAGTTATTTAATAATATGAAGGACTTGCATTTCAATGTAAATTTAAAAATATTGAATGATAGGATTTTTTGTAAATTACGTTTTTTGTTGTTTAAGTTGTCTTAAAAAGTTGGTAATTTTCCCTATCCAGATGCATTGTGAAAGACGAAACTTGCCTTTTCGAATTTTAAACCCAATTCATACTCTGAAATATTTTAAAATATACCTGTTCACTTACATATTTTTTATATATGCTTTAAAAATCCAATCATGGACAGAGTAATGAGCCTGGAAACTTGGAGAATTAAAACTCCACTTAGATACTGTAGGGCATAATATTTGTCAATCAATATCACTAAAATAAGGTAAGAAACCTAATGATATAACTGCTTTAAGGTATGTGGGACATACTTAATAAGAAATATACAAAATATAAAAAAAAATGAATGACAAGTATTTTTTCGGCTAAAGGTCCTTCTTCCCCTTAAAGCAACGCCTGGACGAAGAGAAAATTCGGACTTTGCACATTGATCCAAACGAATTTTTTTCCGCAGTTACCTGTGGTCCCATAATGCTTTGCGAATTGCATCTCGTCGCAAACAACGTTCTCGTGGCAACAAGAAGTTCCAAGAAAAAAATAAACTCACCTTGATTTGATGGAAGTATAGCAGATAAATAGTAGATTAAACCTTCTTTATTAAAATTAGCACTGTTCAGACTTCGATTTGGTAATGCAACTTACAAGCGACGTCATGTGACGTCAGAGTCTAGACGTACTAAATGTCACGTGCGATTTGAAGAGCCCGATCTAAATAAAACTGAATATAGGTATCTGCGATCGCCCTAACGGTCGCACCGTCAACATATTATCCACTATTAAATGATGTGTTTATGGTTTTTGTTTATATGTATTATTTCCAATTTTTGCTGAAATTTATATCTTTAGCCGGGTACGGCTGGTTTCCTTACATTTATTATTACAAATTTACAAATTAAAAGGTACTTCTTTACTAAATGTAATAAGAAACTAGAATGAGAAAAAGCCAAGCCTTCATGTACATAGTTATGACTACACATTCCTCATATCATTGGGATTGGGAATGTTTACAAAAATTCCCATACACACAAACTTGTAAGCTAGCAGCTATACAAGTACACATACCAGTGACTTCAAGAAGCTTGGGTAGTATTCTTACACTTTTAAGCTATACATCATAGAAAAAAGTTTATGTTATCCCATCAAATTATTCTAATCAATTTTAACACTTAAACCATGTTCCTACGAAAATCAATAAACTTCGCTGTAACTATTTTGAAGAAAATAGAGGAGTGCCGATTATCACGTCGTCCTTAAATTCAAGGAATGTTTCATCGCATATACGGAACAATTGAATAACCTGAAGACGTTATTTAACTTACCGAATGTTTGTCAACGGGTTGTTTGAAAAAATCTTTCTTTGATGCCGGTCTTTTCCCTTTGGAACTCTTTTTGTCGTGCGACATCCCTGTAAACAATGGGTCAGACTCTCAGACCGGAAGTGCAACAGATATTGTAATTGATCGGTGCACACGTTGATCTATAATTTTCCGATTTGTAGGGGGGTGGGGGGGGGGTGGTAATTAATTAAAATCCACAAACTCACTAAACTTTACTTTTTATAACCTATTTTACATGATAATATTTCAATTAAATCATTGAGCTTTATAAAAAAAGTGTTATTAATATATTTTTATCAATTGAAATCTAAATTGCAGATGTTAATTGCCATCCTTTAAAATGATCATGTGTGACAGGTTTAATAAGATATATTTAATTACATACGAACATAATAGGAAACAAAGTGTCTCTAAATACAGATTCAGGTCAACTTTTTATGTAACATGCAGTCTTTTAGATCAGGTAGGTGCATATGGTTCTTTGACAAGTGGGTACCTTACATGTGGCTTGAAGAAATAGAGATACAGTAAAACACGCTTATAATGAATTGACGCTTACAGCGAAGTAATTTTTATTCCCATTGACTTTAAAATATGTTGTAAACTTATTGAATATAACAAATTATGTTTATAATGAAGCAAATTCGTCTGTCCCAGGCACTTTGTTATAAGTGTGTTTTACTGTATTATTTCAATAGAAATTGTGCAAAACACTGTAGGCCAATGAAATTATATATTTATGACAGGATGCTAAAAATCTGGTTAATCACGTCACTCTTGAGCAAAAGATTTTTAAATTCTGTCTCCTGTATCACATGTAATAAGTAAAAATTTGATCCCCTATTGTTGTCCCACAGAACCATGATTTGAAAAAAAAAAGCTTCACTACTTGTACATGAACCTAAGGATGCTTGCACGACAATAATGACTTACTATGGCCTTAGTTTTCCCTATACACTGTATATTCATGTACTAAATACACAACCTTCTCTATGGCTGACTCTGGGCACAATGATTTGAATACGAGTCTTCACTGCATTGGGAAGCTGGCTTATCACTATCACTTATAAATGTATTGGCCCTGCTGTTCGATCCCTATTGTGGCTCAGCTCTTGCCGTTGAGAGTTATAATTTTTACTTGAATCAACACTCTTTGCAGAAGCTGATAAGCAAGTTTTGTCATTTTTAACCTTAATAACTAAAATACCTAAATCCCTAAAATACCCCCAGGGTGTGAATTAGAACAGAGTGATCTAAAGGCCTGTTGAAACACGATGTTGTCACTTTCACAATAACAGTGTTGTATGCTACAATGCACAGCAGGGTATTACCCATAAAATGTTTGCGACATCAAGTCAATTGACATATGAAAATTCTCCAGTTTCCACTTGAAGAAATCATCAGTTTTATGCCTGTCGTAATTGGAAAAACAGCTTTGACTTAGGTTTCAAAACTCTTCGTACAGTACTTGCCTGTGCAAATTCAAACTACAATCCCCTGGAATTTGAAAAAAGAAGACAAAAACCTGGAAATTTCAACAATAATTTTATTAATTTATATTAATGATATACTATTTTTCTTGGTAAATGACTCCTGAATTAAATCAGCATATCAAATGAAAAGCATTTTCCTATTATGTACATGCACAATGGAAGCAAGCAAGACTTGTTTTCAAACACTGAAAATTCACACTGCCATTTGTAATCAAATGATATAAAAGAAGTTAGGGAAGAAAACCTGAATGATATCACATATTTAACAACCTGTTAATTCTTAATTTTCTAAAAATTTCAAGAATATCCAATTGAAGTAAATGAAATTACCTGTCACTAAGTTATACAATCCTCGAGTGTAGCATAAAAATCCATGTACATGACTTATAACTGAGCATTCTTAGGCAAGACACATCTCTTAGTACATGACAATTTTTTTCCTTTGTGTCTGGTAAAATCTCAATAAAAACAGACTTTACATATTGTTAAAATTAATTCTACATTGACAAGTTCAATTTACCTGCAATAGAACACTTAAACAGCATGTTACATAATATCTCCAATTTTGTAACATGTTTTTAAGAAACATTATTTAGAGATGTGGCAATTCATACTGCAAAATTGAGAAACAAATCTACACCTAAAGGTGATCTGAATGGTTAGTAATGAGAGCCATGAATATTGAACAGTGAGTTTGAATGCACAAAAAATGTGTTACAGAAAATGACAGAGGTTTGTGTTTATGACTAACATCTTATGCAGACACACTTGTAGAATATCACAATCTCACCCTGAATCATAAATGAAGTAGTCACAAATAAAGACAGATCCTAATCAGTATTGGCAAGAAAAAAATCTTCCAAAAACTCACAAAGATGATGTACAATGTAGCTTAAAAAAAAAAAAAAGCTTGCTTACTCTAAAGTTTCAGCTCTAAACAAGGTCATCTTGGAAGGATGACGAAATACTGTGAAATTTCCTCCAGTAACAAGTGGGACTTCAATATTTGATTGAAAACTAGTGGTCCTTGGCTGTTGGTAAATAAAATATCAGTTGGTACACAGAGCCATGCGAGGTAGGCAAACCATGCAACACAAACCTACAGCTGTCTAACGACACAGACATTCAATGCCCAATATATGAAAAACTAGATTTTCAGGAAAGAATTTAAAGCTTGGCTTTTTTGTATGTACAATTATAAAAAAAAAATCAGCACTTAAATTTCTTCCAAACAATTATTAAACACATCAATGCAGTTGTAGTTTTTCAAAATAACAAGTCTGTCAAAGTGTTCTTAGTATTTCAAAACAACTCTCTTTACAGAGTGAGTCACTTAAACTTGGAATACTTGGGAATGTTGATTTGATAACCTTTCATTTTTTCATTCAATTACAGAAAAGTGCATTTAAAAAATGCTGTATAATGCACAACTTTTAACTAGAAGCAAACAGAATACATTGGTTGTATCATAACCTGTACTACAATATATATATAAAATGGAATAATTAAAATATTTCATTAATCAACATGATTAACATGAAAATCTTCACCGTAAAATTAATTCATATATTACATTTCTAAAAATTCTCCAGTAGCATTCTTATGTATTATTTTTTCCATGTATATATACAAATTTATCACAATTGGCAACATTTTACTATCATCACTGTTAATTATAAACTTGGTTAAATTTCTCCAATTATTTTCTTTATATACCTGAAAATTCAGATCATTTTTACTATCTACTTTGTTTAAACCCTTAGACTTTGATTTTTATTTTTGAGATAAACCCTTAAAAGACATACAGCTTTCTCTAACAATCTTCCATCAATCAAATCCTTGAAAATTCTAATCTACAACAAAAAACTCATACTGTCAAAATGCATGATCGAGGATGAAAAATGATACAATTACAGTAAAAAAAAAACACCATAAACTTCAATAAATAAAACTATTGCCCGCCCAGGTTTGTAGATTAGTTCCCCTTGGCCTGCATCACACATGATTTGGTAAGAATGTCAAAGTTCATTGGCAGTTTGTCGATCACTAAACAAAGGTTGATCTGCATCAGTAACCACACGACCTCTGACACTTGCTCATAACTTTTCCTTGGCTGGGACCCAGATAGTGGGACCTGACTGGTCGCGGATCACTTCCTTAACCTTTGCATAGATCTCATTTGCCGTATCACCTTGAACAACAGCTAAAATAGAAGACATATAATTTTATATCATCATTTGACAAAATTATTAAGGTGATATAGGTAAGAATCATTCAGACACCTACTTGTTAAATAATGTTACTCTCTAGAACACATCAAAGTTTTGTACCCAAGAATTATTAAGTGAAATTGGATTATTACCATGTTTAATTTTCACTGAAATTAAATGTGTTAATTACCAGTAAAATATTCGCCAAATTCTTGTTCCAGTTTCATGGTTCTTTCATAGGTCAATCTGGCTTGTTCTTCAGTAATTCTCTTGTTCATATCCCTACAATGTAAAACACCAATATAGCACTATTACACATATAACACAGTCAGAGAAAGAGAGAGAACTTTCAAACCAACACAGAGTTGTTAAAAGTGAAATTTCACACAGAAATAAGCACCATGTCCTATGGCACCATATCCCAAAATTGATTTGGAATTCATAAGTACCAGGAATGTGTTCATGCAATTTTAATGCAAAATACAATCAAGTTAACCACAGAGTTCTACACTTAAGATTTCACTCCAGAACAAAAACCCAAAAGCTGACCAAATTGTCATACCAATGTTGATCTTCTTGTTGAACATAAAGAGATCTTCCCAATTTACTTTAAAGATATTTTGTGAAAACTTATTTAGAGATTTCATTTGTAACTGATCTACACAAATTCTTTAACATGAATCCAACTTATCAATGATTTTATAACTAAGTCGATCTACTGATTTTACTCTACTACTTTTTAAAATCAAGTAAATCAAATGCAAAACTCTAACAATAAGTCAAGAGACTATCAAGAAGAATGCATTTATTAAGTATTAATTTCAATTTAACAATTCTAACTTACATTATGGATTCAATGGACTTTGGTTTGATAAGAATGGCTACTGGATACAATCCAGCAACCTGTAGTCTCTTTATGGCATTTCCACTCACATCAAGAATACAGTGCTTTCCCTGAAAGACAATAAGGAAAGTCAAAATTAACTCAAAAATACATGTACATAATGATTCTTACTTTTACAGCTAAGGACTTATGAATATTTTACAAGGTTAACATTCATCTACAATAATACCATTACCAGTTCTAAAAAAAAAAATGATTTGTAGAATATTCTTTCAGAGTGTTGTCTCATGGCACAGAAATGTGTTGTGAAAAGTTGCACCTTAAAATAGTGTCAGTAGCTAGTGCACACACCCAATCCAAACAAGACACCATAGTTTGGATGCTACCGTATATACTCCCCTATATGCTGGTCTGTTTATAAGTCTGCTTCTTTTGGAAGAATTTGTTATTGACCCTCTTATAAGTCAGTACAACTTTTTGCCAGAATCGATTGACAATCTCAGATCAATGTGCCAATGCTTTTGTGTTTCAAATAATATTTTCGGAAACAACACTGATATTAAATCTTTTATTTTCTTCACAAATCAATACTGTAGATTCCTAAATATATGTGAGGAATTAATTATTGCGTAATTACGTGAGAAGCACCACTCGCGAAATAAACTTACACGCTTTTATATTTATGGTGCTGAAATTAATGTAAAATCTCTTGATTAACCCTCCACTCGCAAATTATTGTTCTCGCAATTTGACGTCAAAGAGCCATTTTGTGAAAATAAGTACTCGCGAAAAATAAGGAATCTACAGTACTATACCTATACATTAATGTACTTACCAGTGTAAAAAAATATTTTTTGGATAGGACATCGATATTTAACCTTTTGTTCATAACAACTCAAAAATACTACTTTTAGCTGTTCAGAAAAATACCTATATTTCTGGGACTGGCCTGTAAGTCAGACATAGAGTTTTGTACCAAAATCTAACTCCAAAAAATCCAACTTATAGGAATGTATGTACCGTAGGCAGGATACAAACAACAATAACAAAGTATTAACCTTCTCTGCCACCTCTTTTACAGACGCTACACTGGTTCCATAGAGGTTCTCATTGTACTGTCCTGCTTCAATAAACAGGTGATTCTGGATGTCACGCTCCATCTGTTCCCGTGAGTCTACAAAATGGTAATCTCTGCCGTCCACTTCATAGTCACGCCTGGCTCGTGTCGTATCTACAATTCCCAGTCAATATTTCAAGTTCATTGCAACAAATAGACATAGAACACTTTAATTGCACAAATGAATCACTTTAACATATATAGAAAGTAATATATTTACCAGTTTATCTATTACTGATAATAAATATGTTTAAAAAAAAAAGTAAAAAAAGAACAAAAATACTGTATTTAAATGAAGTGAGACCTACGTGGAACACAACTTCCGAATTTGTCTGGGAATTCTGAGATGAGGTCATCATTGATTCTGTCCTTAAGCGGCCCCAGAATAATGACAGGTCTGGTGTATTTCACTGTCAATGAAAATGATCACACCTCTAAGACTTTTTTTTCAGTCTGACTTGTAAAGAATATTTACTTTAAGTTTATTTCATAATTGTTGAAATAACGGCATGTGAAATACACATAAATACCAATGATAATATTATCATAGAAATAGTGACAAAATACACAGATTTGCAGACTATACCTAAGATATGGGTAATTCAGTAAAAATTGAGTTTTTCAAGTTCCTGACTTATTAGGTAATATTCAGTAACAATTGAACTTTTTGATTCTTGACTTATTGGGTAATATCCAGTAATAATAGAGTTTTTCAAGTTCTTGACTTATTGGGTAATATCCAGTAACAATACAGCTTTTTTGATTCCTGACTTAATGGGAAATATTCGGTAACAATCGAGCTTTCTGAGTTGACTTCTTGGGTAATATCCAGTAAGTACTAACAGTTGAGCTTTTCAAGTTCATGACTTATTAAGCAATATCTAGCTTTCCAAGTTGACTTATGGGGTAATATCCAGTAACAATGGAGCTTCTCAAGTTCTTGACTTTTTGGATAATATCTGATAACAATGAAACTTTATAGCTGACTTACATTCCTGCTGCACTACAGCTTCATATGAGAGAATAGGTTCATCTCCACCTAGGAAACAAACAAGTAAAGTAGTCACATGTAGAAACAACACAGAGAAATTATGTTTAAGTACATGTACTATAAATTTTTATCAGGCATCCATGTGAATGAATCAAAAATACAGAAGTATGAATCATTTATTCTGCATTTATTTCTATTTTCTTATATGCAGAGTAGTACATTACTCAATCCGTTTTAACTGACATGCTGAGTTTTCATTATTATACACCTATTTAACATACAGACAGACATCTGTACTTACGATAGCTGGCCTCACTGTCAGCACCACCTGAGAACAAAATCAAACTAGGGTCAACACACCATGCACATTTACACAACCAATCAACAACATTAATAGCATGCAGGTTACCAGGCAACATCAAGTTGCTAGGCAGCATTAAATAAAAGCAAATCAATTGTCAACAAAAATTATCACTTTTTTCCTCTAACAGCAAAACAAAAACATTTTTTTTCCTCTTTTGGAAAGTCAATGTAAGAAGGTAACAAATGTAAATCATAAAACATACATATTTAAATATAAACAAAGGAAATTCTATCTAATGAAGAATTGAATGAAATTTTATCTACAGAAATTTGCAAAGCAATGAAGAAAGATATGTGACATAAAGAATACTGAGTATTAAACTCCCCCCCCCCCCCCTATTTAACTGCTCCTCTTTCTAAGCTGTAGTTTATTTGGTTTTATGCTTAAAAGTAAATATAACTCAGCTTTGGTTGTTTTACTGATTTCTGTATGTGAATATATTGTCTGTAGTAGAAGTGAACATACATGAAGTCTGATTATTGACAAAGTATTGTAGATTGTTCTTGATTTCCAATCTGTAGACAAGTTTTCTTTACTGCTTGTGTCGAAAATAAGCAGATTGGTCAAGTATCATTCAAACCAACAAAAATCTACACATAGCTTTTATTCTCACTATAGAGATAATGTTAGTAACTTTCTTTCCAAACCAAACTTTAGTATTTGTCTTTTTAAATTCTTATTATGCCCCCGTATTGAAGATTCGGGGGTATATAGGTTTTTTTTTTTTAAATTTAGAATTTTTTTTTAATCTTCCATGTAGCTTATAAATCTACTACTGCAGTTAAGTTAATTATCAGACTATTTTCTAAAGCATTTAATGGCAGAAAAGCTTAAGAGTTATTCGTGAATAGTCAAAAGTCTTCTGATTAAGTATTCACAACATTAATCTCATGTAAAGTGTACACTAGAGAGGATTTGTCTGCATTTCCACAGACAATGGTACTCCCTGCTGAAGCAAGTGTACACTTTACATGACTATATAATTATCTCAGGACAATAAACAGACGCTAACAAGGCAAAGCAAGAAATTAGCTGCTATTGAAAATATTACCTTCAGCTACAAAAAAATCACAACAAAGAAACAAAATTATTGTCACTTCAAAGGAATCTAAACTCTAATTCTGCTGATAACAACTCTAAAGGAATACACAGGTACTTTTTATCCAACATTCTAAAATTTTGAACTATTATGGTCTAAAGAAATAACGAATTCTAATTGTATTTAGGATGAATATTGGATTGATAAGTTCTGAGATTAACACCAGGCATGCTTCGAGTCTGGACGTTTGAGTGTCTGACTACTTACGCTCATCAGCACTGATGTCTTCTCCTACTGCGTGGTCCTTGCTCTTCATAAAAGGGAAATGTTTGGAAAATGAAAAATTCTTCTTTTTCTTCTCATTTGAATTAACATGTTGCACATTGCCATTTGTCTGTGAAAAAAATAAAATTCTTTATGAATAAAATGATTCCTCCTTGATAGCATATCTAGTACTACACACATGTCTGTCAACAAGTGTTAAACTCCAGCAAACACCCATGTCTTTCTGACTACTTTAAACCTTAAATGACAAAGTTGCTTGAGGGAAACTAACGAGTTACCCATTGATAAGGACAATCAAGTTTTACCTTACATTTCGTGAGAAAAAAAATTTACTTTTCATCTTGAATTTAGCATCTTGCTGTTTCATCAGAATTCTCATATCAAAAGGCCGATAATAATTACCAAGGTATTTTTTAGCCAAGTCCATTGGTTAACATTTCTACTACTGCCTCACCTTTTCACTGGTTTTGCCAGTAAATTTAACATTCTTTAACCGTGCTCTTTCTTTTCTGTCTACCCTGTAACAAAAAAGATTTAATTCAGCTGTAACATTCTTTCCAGTAGGATCAAGTTTATTAACTCCAATGTTCTTTTGCTATCCTGTATTTCAAATATGTTGTTAAAAACAGGAAATACTGAACTTTCATATAAAATCGTGGGTTCTACATTACAAAATATGAAAGACCTTGCAAAATACTTAGAAAAAATAAAATCATCCCAAAAACAAAGTTTATCGCTGCCTTCTCACCGTCTTTTACTTGGAATGATCCCCATTCCCTCCTCCTCGCCGTCGGGTGTCACATAGCGAGCCTGCCACCACTCGTCATCACTAGCATTTGTTACGTGGAGAATATCGCCATACTTAAAGGCCAAACCTTTACTGGGCAAACCGCTGTCTTTTGTTGGTTCATAATCAAACAAAGCTCTAAAAAAAAAAAAACAGGAAAAAAATCTGAAGTTCAGGTATATTTAAATTTTTTACTGTAGAATAACCTTTGTAAAAAAAAGTATGACATTAAAATTTTTTTTACAAAAGAGGAGATTATTCACATGCTTTTAAATTAATGCTAGAAATGACAAAATTCCAGTTTGCATGGAAGACATTATACAATCATGTAAATATAAAACCAATTTCTCTTGCTGTTCAAATCTTTACAATATCCCAGTGCCTATCCTTTGTACCTGACATAAAGTGTCCTTTTCTGAGTGGTGCGTAAACTGCCTGTACTTGTGTTCATCATCTGTTCTCGCAAATCCTGAATTTTGGCCTCAAATCTGTTGTACTCTATATATACAAAAGGCATTGGTGACATTAGTATAAAGTGGTGAAAGCTCCTGGTCTAACTTTACTCAAAAGAGTTACAACTACATATATTGATATTGACTGTACCTAAATTATAATGTTACCATTTAACTTTATTTCAAAATTTAACAACTGTGTGCAAACACATATGTATTTTTTAAGGAAAAACAATTCAACAAAAATACACATATCAACATAACTAGACCTGCATTTTTTATTTTTTATCTTTAGAAGCCTGAATCTTGAGTATTTATTAACTATTTGAATATCAAATTTGCAATGGGATTGAGAATCTCAAATCAAACCACTACCCAGTGCTTCCCCTTTATATAGCACATGGCATTCCACATGCTCAGAAAATATTTATTGAAGGCTATCCAACAGCATGATTTTGAGTACAATAAGATAGGCAATACTGTTTTTTGAACATTCTTTATAGTTATGAAGAGAAATATTTTATGGCTAATTTATTTTTTCAAAAGCTGAGGAGGGTAGGGGTGGGGGGTTAGAAGGACAGGTTTAAAGGGCATGGCAATATAAATTACTTAACAAGATACAATAAAACTTTGAACCCTTATTTCTTCCTCTGATCATGGACTTAATTTTTTGCATCTGAAAAATTTTAATGTTAGCCTAAAGTGCAAAAGTTATGTGCTCAACTCGATAAAGGGTACATAAAATACTTTTTGTCCAACCCCACCCCATCCTTTGCATGTGGAGGTTGGGTACAGTGTCTGTATAATTACCATCAGGTCGGTACTGTACTACCAGTTCCACTGTGTCCCCAGCCATCTTTAGAGCACCTGCTGCCTCTTCATGTGTGGCCATTACTAAATCCTTCCCATTCACCTACAACAAAATCACAAACATCAGACTGTGGCCTTCTCTATCTATTTACAAACAGATATTTCCAACATTTCCAGACTGTTGAATAGTTCTGAGTTATCCAAGGTTCTACCGTTCTATAACTTATGTTGTACATGTCTCTTAACATCATGTAACATACACATATAACATTACAAAATCCTTGCCCCTGTTCTGTCATGATACAGGATACTATAAATTTTTGGCATAAAAATTCCATTCCTGATAGTAGTGGTAGTTGTTTTGTATAATCAAGCATATTTTAACTGCACAAATTATCACTGTTGATATAATCATCATAAAATTACACAAGTTGATAAATTGCTTAATTCTAAACACAATATATACTCCATCATGAATTATATTTTTGGAAGTAGAAAAGTAAACCTCAGATTTATTATCATGCATGCTTACATATAATCTCATTCTTAATTTTTTTTTTCTCTAACACAAAATCCACTCTGCTCATAGACAAAATAAGACCCAAATTGCCTAAGACAAGTTTTCAAATCACTGTCAACATGATCTATAACGTACGTACCCTTTGATATTTACTGAATTAATACTAAATTTAATGTACAATTGTCATATTTTACTCTGTCCTAACACCATTCTGAGACATCCAACTTTTCATCCTGATTATTTACTTTTAATTGCAGAAGCAGTGAATGATTTTTATTTTGTTCTTAGGACTGATTCTCCACTAATCTATCATGTCTGTGTGATGTAAGAGTGACTTCAAAAGAAATCTGTACATTTTCTGTTGTTTTTTACTGTTAGGTTATTTTACTGTGTGTGTGTGTTTTTAGTTGTGTCAGGTGATCATGATTATAGTCACATGTTGTGCCAGTTAAAAATAAAAATAAACACAACACTAAAATACCAGGTGTTCGTTGTAATCCAATAAGTGAAGTCACATGCAAGAAACTTCACTGATTACAAAATATAAATTTAAGTTTGATAATAACAACATACTCTTAATAAATACTTGTCACAAAATGATGAAAATCATAATTAAAACAGTTTTAATGCCTAAGACAAGTACATATGTACAGTCAAACCTCGATATCTTGCACTCGATGGACCAAGAAAAAACTGAGAGACACCCAAGGGTTTGAGACATTAAGGTTAAAATGCATAAAGAAAAAAAATGTTTGAGAAACATATACAGTGAAACTTGTCTGATCCGGAAGTTGTATATTCCAAAATCTTGCTTAATATGATGTAAACTTAAGTCCCTTTCAATAAATTCAATTGTTAAAAATGTTTTCTAATTCGGAATGTTGTCTAGTCCGGCCAATTTCTTTGGAACCAGTGGTGTCTGGATTAGACAAGTTTTACTGTATGTACCCCCTCCCATGTTTACAGTATTTGACCATTGACCTGTTGACATCAGAATATACAGTGGTCAACTACTCCCTAGGGGAAACCAGTGTACCAAGTTTAATATCCGTCAAGCAAAGGGTTTTCAAGACATTGAACAGACAACTCTTGGTCTAGTACCAACTGACTGACGTACCACCAGCCAACAGGTGCAAAGCAATATGCCCCATTATTTCAAGGGGACATAAAAAAGATTGGGGCTTCACACTCACTTTAAAATTATATTTATAGTATCAGTGTTGGAGATATCCAAGTTTAACTGTGTTCTTAAAGTGAACTATGTGTAGGCAAAGTATGTACTTTCTGTTTCTTATTATGAAAAGATATTGCTAGCAAAAGTACTATGTTGTCATCTATGATCATGATTCTTGAGTTCAATGTTTCATATTTGTGAGTTCCAGGAAAGTCAACTCTTCATGGAATATGACTTAAGGAAGTACAGGGAAAAGATAATGCAATGATAAACAAAACAATACAACTTCCCAAAAACTAATTTTACAACACAAAATTGTTTTATGAATTTTAAGGCAACGTACACTGCTGTTGGCAAGACCTACCGACAAGATTTGGTCACCCCTCCGTAACTCCCCACTGAGGTCTGCAGGTGCCCCTGCCAGGATGAAGGAAACAAATATCCCCTCGCCATTTTCTCCTCCTACAATGTTGAAGCCAAGACCCGTCGACCCCTTCTTCAAGACAATTTTTCTTGGATCCCTGCAGAAAGAAAGAAAACATGATTAAAACATGCATATACAGGATATGATAAAAATGAAATACCCGGTGCAAATGTTACACTTGTTTGGCTGCACTTGTTCGGATGGTTACTGAACTTTTGACTCATTGACTTCCCATCAGATTTTCTTGTACACATGTATCCAGGAAATCATTTAGAGGATCTCGCATAACATTGAAGCAAGCCTATCTAATAGAGGGATAAGAAGCTGAATGGGGAAAAAAAATTACCACAACATGAGTAGCAGCACACAATTAAGACAACAGTATTTTATTTGTACTCACATTCCCAGAACAAACCTTTTAACCCATTAACAAGCTGCTGTAGGAGAGTAAGCTAGGATGTCATTACCATTAAAGCAACTGTTCACTAAATCTGAGAAACTGATGAGTCATTACCCTGATTAAGAATTAACCTATCCATAATGAAGATTTCTCTGATACAAGATAAAGGTAATTTACATGACAGGAATAGGTGATCAATTAGCAACAAACCATGGAAACAGAACACCAGCCCATCAGAACAAGTGTTAGGTATTCCATCTAAAACCAAGCACTGACCCAAAGCAACAAACAATGAGGCTAATACATGCATTGGTGGATCCTGATATAATTGGGGGGTGTTTTTATCAACAACATTTCAATTAATAATTTAATACTAGTAGCAGACACGTATAGTGGCTTCATTTAAAATTTTCATTCATGTTTACACAATTTAGATAAAATCTGAAGACTGGCTGGTTTTAATAGTAGAAACTTTGAAATCTTTAAGTTTTAATATTCTGCCAAAAGGAAATACCCATTATCCTGTGTATGTCAAGTTTTTAAGGTCTGCAGAGTTTGTAGTGTGGGACCTGTTACTATACGTTAAGTACTTGACCTCTTTAATGGTTGTTAGCTCCACCCAATTTATGCATACAATTTATTAGCATCAGATGAAGTGTTAAGTACTCAAACTTGTTCCTATTTACATGTGTACAATGACTCAATTTTACACAATTCCACCTTCAAATTAATATAATCATTCCATTTATATCTGAATATCTACAAAATTCATTTTTTTAATCCCCTTTTCTATTGTTCATTTCCTTTCACTTAAAAGCAGTTTATACTTGTTTCACACATTTGTACTGGTAAAATATGAATGTCAGAAATTACATGTATTTTTGACCATGCAACAATGGAAAAAACAATGATTATCAGTTTAATCAAAATTGAATTTTTCCTCATACAAATTTAGAACTTTTTCCCTGTAAAATCAAAAACTTATTTCCTGATAAAGTGAAGACCAATATCCTCTATGTCCATTAAAATATCAGGCTTTGACACCAGCATTATCAGTTAATCTGTAAAACCAAGAAGAGAATTCTCAATAGACGTGTCTATACCTAGAACTATACTAGCTCTATTATAAACATTGGCTTTCTGAAGAACTCTATCTCATCAATAATTAATACTAGGAGCTGATAATGGTCAAAACAGTTAACCATGATCAATGTCAGTTAGATCATCACGCAACCATGTCAACGTAACAGAGTCTGGAGTAGCACACTAACCAGGATTTATTCCATTTTTGTGGCTAGCTCATACATAAACAAATTTCATTATTCCTCCTATTACCTTACAAGTTTATTAGAGTAAGATTGACCCTGTGTACTGCTGTGTGAGATGAAGACACTTAAACTGCACAGACAATACACACTGTTCTTTGTCATGTATCTCACGGGATGACAAAAGCATTTTAATTGCCATCAGGCCTGACATTTATAACCTGGCTATGAAGCTCAAATACACCAGGATCAGAGAAAAAGATGTTTAAACCTGCATTTCCAGTGTTTATAGTCTGAGATCTGGTAGAAAATACTCCTGCTGTACCTCAAATACAACAACAACAACAACAAAAAAGCACCAGGGAGTTTGTGAGAAACTACAAAATGATAAGCTTTTGCTTTGGTTTTAGAGGTTTCCTCCTGTTTTCCATGTACATACAGAGCAGAAGCAGACTGAAGTTCTTAGAAGATACACCATACTAATTTCCACAAGCTGTTCTACCTCTCCCTGTACCCTAACCTGCTTCTGCAGATCTACAGAGCACCATATACCTTACTAAATACCATCTGCCCTAATGATGTGGTACACTAAGATATCTGTTAAATACCCATAAGTGACAATCAACTCCCCCCACCTACCTTTTGAACATTCCAAAAACTAACCTGCTTATGTGCGGATCATAGAAATAAGGGTCTTTTCGCTGTCCTTTTTGCTTCAACATTCCGTAACTTAATAAGTTAGGATTTACTTATCATAAATCTCCTTCATGTTTACACATCACAAGTCAATAATTCTTGTAGATCCTGAAGTTTCCTTTGGTTTACAATCCCTGACCTACACTCAGAATTCAATTAAATGTGAAACATCCTTCAACATATCATTAGAATGTGTTGCGTTCCATGACTTCAAACATCCAGCTGACCAAGACATCACATCCTTCCAATCATGGCAAGGTTAACAAAACACAAATATTCAGTATAGTATAGGATGCAGTGAAGAACTGTATATTTACTGGGCAGCCACTGTTTACTGACCTAAATACCAGCTCAGACAACAATGCTTGTTCTCAAGATTTAAATTAAACACAATCCCAGTTATACAGTACTCTAAGATTAAGTGTCTACACTGCACAGCTTAGATCAATACAGTTCCCATTCAAGTGGTTTTCTTTATCAGGCAAAAGCTTGAAATGGGGCTCCATGAAGGATAAGAGATTTTAAATTTCAATTTGTTCACTTTTGTTTACAGTTTCACTATACAGTCATGAAGTTAGCAGTGATAGGAAGATTTTTATCTGATTACATGCTGTGCACATGCATTCATTTTTCAAGAGGAATACAAAAAAAAATAATATCAAGAATGCATATATTATAACAATCATTTACATAATTTAAAAAAAATGTGAGGGGGCATCTCAAAAGTAATTTATCATATTACAAGATACAATCAAAATACACAGTTTCCATTCAGTTGAAAAGTGCAGGCAATTTAAATGCACGTCAGCTAGCTCATTTTTCCTTCTTTAAAATCTTTTTTAACTACTAAGTCAGTGGCACACACAATTACAGCAGAAAATATTTAAATATTTTAATGCCTTTCTCATTTTGCGATAAAAGAAAAATTTGACAAAAAAGCAAAAACAACAATGAAACTTAAAAAAAAAAAACCATTTAAGTGCAAGACCAATGTAACGAAAAACTATCTTATCAAGAAGACTGTAACAGCTTTTACCAAACTTTCTGAAAAGAAAATTAAAAAAAAAAGAATATTTCCTGAGAATTAACTGGCTATATGCAAGATCCTGGTTAAAAGAAAACGCATGATCAAATGAAAATATATGCCTTTAAGCAACTTAATATGGGATTGTAATGGTGGAAGGACCATTATATGCATTAATTGCTTTTATTGAAAATCCCAATGCTTAATTATCAGTCATGATAACACTCGTTATAGTAAACCTTATTAAAACCTAATCAGTTACAACACTAAAAGCCAGTTATAATTATTCACATTCTTCAGTAGTCATAATAAGAAAACATATTTTAATGGCAATGTTCAAACCCAACAGTGAGTGTCTGGTAGACATAAAATCAATAAGCCTTCTGGTAGCAGGAATGATATAACAGACCTAAATGGATTCTGTCACCATTTATTGAGCTCTGTGCCAGCTCCTGTATCACTGGTGAATTGTCACACCTTAGAACCTATAGCAATGGTAACAGTAATCCACCCAAACAACACATAAACTATTCCATGCCATAATGCACAGCAGAGTGCAGATATTTATTGCATTCTGACACCAGCAGCAAAGCATTGAATGGTGATAATGGCTAAATTATCTAATACATAGTAACTAGATGTTATGGCAATTAAATGTTGAAAACACGAAACCCAAACCACCACAAAGTAATCGATATGTTCAAGGACAAATGTTGATACTTTTTTGTTACATAAAATATTTTTTTTACATAAAATGTTTTCCATTTTAAATTTGACACCTTTGTGAAAACATGATTTATTACAAACTACCAGGTAAAAAAATGTGAATAGTTTTTTCTGCCCAAAGCTGAACATGTCGTGTGAATTTTTATTCATTAAAGTTCTATGCTTAAACTTTCAGCACAATTTCCAAAACACATATACAAATTCAAAACTTAATGAAAATCTCTGGTGGCATAGAAGTAGCTATTGATGATGCATCACCTTGTTGATTTGAACTAGATAAAACATTCTATCGTTAAAAATGATATTGTCCCACAGACCCGCTTTAACGATCAAATTCGTTCCATGGCAATGTAGTAAAATAAACAATGGCGATAACTCGAACTCTGTGCATTTTCTATGAACAATCCAGAAAGTTCCGAATGTCAACATGGCGTGTAAATTTGAAGCGAGGATAAAATACATGTATTGAGAAAATGAATTGAATTTCCTTATTTATATGGATTATTTTTGAAGTTAAAATGCATATATACAATCTAATAAAGGTTTGTTTATGATTAATTTGGCAGTTATTTTCAGTGCCACTCCTTTTGAATTCTTCAAAATCAATTCAGAGCAGATCCGCTCCGATTTCCTACATTGCAAGTATATGGGACATATTCTTACTGTGTTGAGGGCTTGTCCCAAGACACAGTTAGATTATTCTAACTAGATTTGAACATGCTTGCATACCATCTAATACTACAATATCAAACCATGGACAGTACAATCTTAATACAAGACTGAATTTTGGGGGGGGGGGGGGCTAAAATTGCATCTATTTTGAAATTTAAATAGATTTGAATGGTCTGTATAAAAATTTGGCTTTAGTTTACAAAAAGATATACATACTATAGGAAAATTGCTTCTAACAATATTTGGCTATAAAATGAATATGACGATACTTGTATACATTTATTGACTGGGTTTGAGGACAACATGCATTTTGT